TGAAAAATTAATCAAGAAATCAAAAAGTCTTAGAATACCCAATAAAAACCAGTTAAAAGAATTTAATAATATAAAAGAAGTAAAATTATGTAGAAATGTTGAAAATATGAAAATAGAAGGAGAACACTATAATGGAAGAGAAAATATAAATAGACCAAATATATTAATAGATACATGAGCTAGTGAATGTCATATAACTTCAATCAGAAATAAAGGATCAATAACTCATAAAACTGATCCATATGATATGTAAATTTTGATGGACAAGTACATATTACAGATTTGGAAGTTAAAGTACCAATAAAAATAGAAGGAATAGATATTTTAGTACCTTGTTATATAGATAAAAGTATGGATATAGACCCCCATATACTTTTAGAAATGAGTTTTTTTAAATGGATTAGAAGATTATAGTATAAAAAGAGAAGGATTATATATAGTCCATAATGAACAAACTATATTATGTAAAAAGAACTAAATGAATAATCAGATAAATTTTTCATTACCTGTATATATACAAATCGCTATTATAGAAGTAAATATAACAACTTGTGCTTTAATAGATACTGAAAGTGATATAACAATATTTAAAAGTTTTTTGATAAAATCATGGAGTGATAATAGTAATATAAAAACAATTGGAGTCACAGGAGAAAGTACCCAAATAATAAATAGTACTGATAAAGTTAATATAATTTTTGGAAGTAAACAAGTTACAATAAATAAAATTTATAAATATGATAAATTAGAGTGTAATATATTATTATGAAATGATTTTATACAACAATTTCAATAGTATAAGCAAAATAATTATATGATAATGCTACAAACACCTTATAGAGTTCAGTCAGCTCAGCGTGGTGATAAATGAGAGAAAAAAATCAATAATATTTAGTGAAATAAAAAATTAAAGAATTTTGTATAAAAAAGTTTTGAAAACAAGAATAGAAATAAGTTTAGAAAAATTTATTGAACAATTAGAAAAATTTATGGAAAAAATTCATTGTTATTTTGGAAACCATATCACCTTAAAGCCAAAATAGAATTGACAGAAAAATGTTATAATAAGAGTCAGACTCATGATGTATACTATAGAAGATACACAAGAATTTAAAAAATCAGATAAAAGAATTGTTAGAACAAAAGCTTATTAGACCTGGCAATGGACCTCATAGTAGTCTAGTCTTTATGGTTATGAAACATTCTGAACATGTTAGAGGAAAAGCTAGAATGATTATAAATTATAAAGAATTAAATAAATATACTAAATTTGATGGATATTTTTTACCAAATAAAGAAGTTTTAATAAACCTTGCAAAAGGAAAACAATATTATTTTAAATTCGATTGTAAATCAGGATTTTGGTAAATAAAAATGGAAGAAGATAGTATACAATATACTGCATTTAGTGCACCTCAAGAAAAATATGAATGGTTAGTAATGTCATTTGAATTAAAAAAATGCACACAAATATAACAAAAAATGAATAATATATTTAAAAAGTTTAATGAATTTCTAATTGTTTATATAAATGATATACTGATATGTTCTAACAGTAAAGAAGAACATATGAATCATTTAATACAATTCATAAATGAATGTAAAAAGGAATTGTACTTTTTAAAAAGAAATCTATAATAGAAAAATAAGAAATAGATTTTCTTGGATTTTTAATAGATAAAAAAGGAATAAAATTGTTGACTCATATATCTAAAAAGATAGAAAGTTTTCCAGATAAATTAGAATCCAAAGAACAAATACAAAATTTTTTAGGATGTTTAAATTATGCAAAATGTTTTACTGAAAATCTTTCTAAGAAAAGGCATAAAATACAAATTTTACTTAGAAAAACAAATACTAAAGAATGAAATGAATAACATATAGAAAAAGTTAAATCATTAAAAGAAGAATGTAAAAATTTACCAAAATTAAGATTACCAGATGAAAAAGATAATTTGATTGTCAATACTGATGCCTCAGATAAATATTGGACAGTAATATTAAAATAGATTTAAATGAAATTTGTAGATATTCAAGTGGAACTTTTAATCAAGTAGAAATAAATTATACCACTCATGAGAAAGAATTATTAGCAATTATTAGATGAATAAAAAAGTTCTCATTATTTTTGTTATCCAAAAAATTTATTGTTGAAACTGATAATTCTCAAGTTGTAGGATTAGTCATAAATAAATTACCATCAGAATCTCAATACAGAAGGCTCCATAGATGATAAGCTTATTTAATATTTTATAATTTTGATATAGTTCATATTAAATGAGTTAATAATTTTTTTGCAGATTTTTTCAGCAGAAACATAGAATTTGCTGATGGATAAAGTTAAGGTTATGGAATTATACTAATCTATCCTACATATACAAAAAATGACAGATTTTCTTAAAGAAGAATCCGAAGATATAAATACTGGAGCAACACAAATCTCAGAGATGTTCAACTCAAATATAAAAAGATTGTTGAATATCACTACTGAGCATTATAAAGAGGTCATAGAACTCAAAAATCAAGTTGATGTTATCGCAGCACAACTAAAAGATATACCGTCTGAGACAGATATACCAAAGAGCTCAGAAATGAGTTTTCCAAATCAATATCAAATAGGGACAGTTGGAAGCAGCAGTGGACCCAGACGCGACAATATACCAACTGATAAAAAAAGGAGATTCCATTTCAGTAGCATCAACCAAAAAAGTAATGATACATGGAGATAAAAGATATTCCAAAAAATTCAGTATCATAGATCAAGAAGATAAAATTTCTTTAGATCCAAAAGAAGAAAAATATGCTAAAATAGTCAGAATTGCTCACGAAATAAAAATGAATGATTCATATTTCATCTCTCCGGGAAATAATGTTTATCCCAGAATAACAGTTATGGAAGGAGGAGACCCTTCATTTATAAAAATTATGGCAGACTATGGATTCATTGATTTGATATATCTAGGAAAATATTTGATAGAAATTTTGAAATTTGATGATATATTCATAAAAGAAGTATCCAGATTTGACAAGGAATTTTTCAAATTTTACTCAATAAGTCCTGAATATGATGGAGTTGTTTACTATCAAGTTGAACGCATAATCTCAATTGGATATGTTGCAACCAATTTCCAAATAGATGTGGTGGAAAATGATAGAAAAATTTCAATAGTGACAAAATCATGGATCAGACATAAAAGAGCACTTGGAATTAAAGTCATATACAACATTGCCAAAAATTTGTTTGACAAAAAATTCTCATGCATGTGCCAATATAAAAACTGGATGCTGATATCAAATCAAGGACATGGAAAATTAGAAATATTGAAAGATTATATTACAAGATACGAAATATATCAATTTCCAGGGTGTCCTACCACTATAAAAGAATCATGCTAGTTAAGGGAGTGCCCCAACTACATGTGAAAGAAGAATACAATAATATAGCACCTTTGACAAAGTTAAGGGAGTGCCCCAACTGCATGTGAAAGAAGAATACACTAATAGAGCACCTTTGACGAAGTTATATGGAGGACAATAATACAGCTGCATGTAAAGACAATAAAGATAAATGTCAATAATAGAGAAAAATGCTCTTTGGATAAAAAGTTGAAAAAACATGTGAAGATGTATGTCCAATAAGGAAAATAATAAAGAGGTAAGTGTGCCTTTGCTGATATACTCAATGTTGTAATATATTCTCATAAGAATTGTATAAATAGAGACGTTATAACAGATATAAATCATTTTGAAATCTCGAATTGTAATCAACAGCCACTCCTAAGCCATCTTTAGTTTGAAAAATCAGTTTTTCTGGAAATCCTTGGATACTGAATAGAAATATTGTAAAAGTTCTTATAGAAATAAAATTTTAATATTTTGATATCAATATGAGTTTCTAAATCTTTATTCCCAACGATTCTTGAAGGATCTAATAGAAAGTTTTCTTCTTATTTTAGCAAAAAGAGAGTTTTTCTTTAATAGAAGTCTAGAATTTTATTTTTTTAAAATTAATAGAGTGAGAGCAAGAAGCTGAAATTTTAAAAATCCTGTGAAGGTTGGAGGCTGTTGAAGGAAGCAGTTTACATATTCAGAGCTTAAAGGTTACTCGGTTCTAAGAATAAAGATCCAGATCAAACCTAAGATAAAACTATTAAAATTTTGCTAAAATTAGAATGAATCTTTTTATATCTTAGAGAATCAAAGGGATTAATTGCATGATTTGATGATTATTTAGAATAAATGCCAGAATATACAATTAAAAGATTGAATAATTTATTAGAAAGAATGTTAGAAATAATAAAAAATCTGTATTCTCAATTAGAAAATATGGATGCATCTTTTGAAAAATATAATAAATTAAGTAATAAATATGAATAATATGTTGCAGATTATTCCAATTTATTAGATCATAGAATGAAGTTATATTCAAATATTCAAAATATAAGATAAAATATTTAAAAGATTAGGATATATGTTGCAATGTAGAAAGAATCATTTCATCAAGGACAATATAGGTTTTTTCATAAACAAAAATAGTCATAGGTCAAATAGAAAAATCTCCCCCCGATTTTGCACATTTTGTCTAGTTTTGTAAGTCTTTTTATTTTTTTATTATTGTGCCTTATGCCACTTCAGCAATATTGTCCTTGTTTGAGCCACATTATTACATTATTTTGGATGGATTTTTTGGCCCAAAAAATTATTTTTTGACCGTTATTTCACTATTTCAGTTGTTATATTTGATTTTTTCTCTCACAAGTGGACCCCACTTTTCTTCTAATGATAAAAAAATCAATTATCAAAATCACTCCCAAACAAGCTTTATATTTCTAAGAATACATTTTTGAATAGTGTAATGATGAGAAATGTATAGTTAAAAAATAAAAAAAAATTTGAATTTACGTTTAATATTATTTTATTAAAAAATGACTAGTTGAAATGACGTAAAATTATACTTCTTTTTTAAAATGTGGCTGAACGTAGCTATTATATTAACTATTCCCAAGCCTGGTTTTAAGCCTGACTGAGTAGCGGGATTGTAGGGAAAATTCATAGCTCTCATTTGAACCCGAAACGCACACCATCAAATCCTCAAAAATGGCAAGTTTGCCAAGGGCAATTTTCAGCGCCATTCCACGCCTTCTTAGCTCCTCGCCTGCCACATCCGACTCTCTTTACAGGTCAAGAATTTAATTTAATTAATATACGGTCCACAAAAAAATTATTGTAATTTTGTTGTTGTTGTTGATCATAATTTTTTGGGTTTATCTAGGCCTATATTGGGTTCGTTTTCGCGTTTTAGTTCGTCAAATTCGACTACCCAATCGATTGATATCGATCTTTCGAATGAAGAAAGCAAAAGGCGTTTATTTAACAGGTTTGAAATTTTTGACACCCAGTAAAATTTAGTCCTAAAATTACGTTTATTAGCATTTTATGGTTTTGAGTATGAACAATTTATTGTTTACGCAAAATCGTAGGTTGTTGTATAGGAGCAAGCAAAGAGGGTACCTGGAGCTGGACTTAATTTTGGGGAAATGGGTGGAGAATCATATTCACTCCTTGAATGAAGACGGAATTAAATCCCTGGTTCATGTCCTTGACCTGGTAAATTTACTTACTATCATCTCCTTTAATTTTTTTCCCCATATTTGCAAATGTCAATATGTTGGCTATTTACATAAAAACTCTATATTCTGATTTTTAGGATTTTTACTTCATTAGGTAATGTACCAAAAAGATTAGAAGTCAAATATATGTTCTTGTCACTTTAACTTTTTAATGCTATTTCCTTAAATAATTCACCATTGTAATATGTTAAATGGGAGTTGTGAAATGGGGGAGCAGGTGGAGAAGAAACCTTCCACACTCGTGGGTTCTTGACTGTTGTGCTCAGCTGGTTGCAAAGCGTATAGTGGCTGGCTGCTCTGTGAAACCTTTTTTTTATAAAGAATTTACTGAAGATTCCTCATCCTTGAATACACAAAGCTGAGTTTTTAAACTGAATATGAATATTTCTGGATCATAATGAATTACCTGTCCAGTTTTAGCCTTTAGGTTGTTAATATGTTTTCGTTGTTTTAAACATCAAGTGTGAAAGTGATAATAGCTTCAGACTGATATTGATCGTGTAAGCCTATTCTGCTGAGCAATATATTTGTTCAATTAGTAACTGTGTCAATCACAGATTGATTAGAAATAAGAGTAATGCGACTTGTGACCTGGATGTTTAATGTCGTGACACAATATGGATATATGCATTGGCATTTATATATTCCACACGGAAGGTTTAAGATTTGATCTTCTGCCATCAAAATTCACTGAACCAAGGTTAATAGGATTCTGTGGAAAATTAGCCATTTTGATAGAGCATGTAATCATTGCTTTAGAGGACACTTAAGATGTCTTCTTGGCCTTTGGATGCCAATCCAGGTGTCCATGAATTTGAAAGCAAGTGTCCACGATATGATCTGTACTCTTACAGTGAGTACACTTTCGATCTTTCTTTGATATAGGTGTTTTACTAGAGGCCATCACAGCCCCTTCTCCAATTGCTCCTCCAAACATGGCTTCCTGATGATTAGCTTTCGAACAAACCATAGCATGAGCAGTTTGTATATTTGGAAGTGGTTTGGTAGCAAGTACTCGACCTCTAACTCATCCAATTGAGAACCAAGGCATCCCAGAAACATGTACACCTGTTGAGAATTAATCTGTGGGTATTTCTCAATGTCCTTGGTACACTCTATAGAGCAATCATCAATATCGTCAAGTTGCTACCAAATCTTCTGTAGTTTACCAAAGTAGGGGATAACAAACCCCCCATTTTGGTGAACAGAAATCACTAGCAGTGTAGTTGATAGGCCTTTGATGCATCTTGCTCGACTGAATGCCTCCCTGACTACTTCCCATATTTCTTTTACTGTAGACAACCGAAGAAAGAAGGATCTGATATCTTTTGTTATTTCATGAAGGAGCCACGATTTCACCAGACAATTTTCATCTTCCTAGGCTTTATATTCTTCTGACTGGACATTTTTAGGTGTAGCTTTGGTCCTTGAAATGTAACCCCAACGTTTCCTTTCTCTGATCTTATTTTGAGCGTTCAAAGCCCATTCAACATAGTTGGTATCGTCAAGCTGTTCTGGAGCAATTAACGTGGAAGTTTCTTGCACATGGAACCCAACCATTGTAGTAGAATCTTTCTTCTTTGGAGAATCATTACTCCCAGCCATTGTGGGTAAGACAACCAAAAAGAGAGCAGAAAAAAATAAAAAGACAATTGTGAACACAAGAAACTAAAAAACTTCAGTTCCTAGAATAAAGAAAAAGAGAATGAAGGTGGCTCTAATATCATTTCAAAGAATACGATGGTAAAAGTAATTTTCTAATGATTCATTCATCACAAGTGATAATATATAAAAATAAAAATAAGTAAAAAAAAAAAAAAAAAAATATATATATATATATATATGGAATCCATTTTCATTTTTCACTGAGTAGAATATATATATAATATTCAAATCACACTTTATGCATTTGATTGGCCATGTTTTGCATTCAGGGAATTACACTTGTGTTTTCTAAGCCTGTTCCTGCTTATACCAACAGGAGAATCCAGATCTATGGAAATGGCTGACTTGTCAGGAGCAACCCCCTGATGCAGTAAAAATAAATCCTGTAAGATATGATTTAGAAACAAGTTTTCTGTCTGTTGCTCACTTCAATCCATGACTGCTTTCGTGATATGATCCATCTAATTTTCTTCACAGGTATTTTTAGCTGTGCGGGACAAGGTTATGAACAACCTCAACAACCATGCTTCTCCTGAAACTCGAGCTACTCCTGGACAGCCATGGGTAAGAGGTTGGGACGATTTCAAAAAAGGTCGAGATGCCCCTACAGCTGGGAACCAGTAGTTGCATAATGAGATCAAATGTTCTAAAATATCGAGCTTTTCTCCAAGGTAGCGTGAATAATGTTTTGAAATGCATATCGTATCATTGCTTCATTCTGTGGTACTCTGTAAAAATAATGTTTTATTGATGAGCCTGTGAACTGTGTGTCCACCCAACATTTATGAACTTTGTGCATTGATTTTGTATAAGGAATAATGTTAAATTCTATCGACTCCCGAGTGCTCGGGTTCATAAACTCGTTTGATGAATTAAATTATGCCCTTGTGCTCGTAACATCAGGACCCGGAGTCTAAAAGGATGTTTAACCGTGTGATATTGAGCATGTTTTGTCTAATTTTAATTTTAATTTAAGTTGTCTAAATATATTTATAAACTACTCATTTCACAACTTACTATTACTATAGAGTTATGCCACATATTCCATAGGACCATAGTGTAGAGCATCTTCAAAGGGTTTGTGGATTGCATCAAAAAGTGTTGTCATCTCTCTTTTAAGACTAAATCTTTACTGGGACGGGCACACCATCCACATGGTGTGTAGGTCCAATGCCAAGGCGCCATTTTGGCGGGTGGGCCGAGGTGTTTAGTGGGCCACCCACCGAGGTGGCGCACCCTAATAGGACGCTACGGTGCGACCATCCCAGTGAAGTTTCTCTCCTCTTTTAAATGTTTACTTGGTAAGAAAACGGGTATAGTGCTAGATATCCTCCACTTATTTTTATTTCTTTGTGTTAATTCATTTAATTTTCATAAATTATGTACTTTCTTTCTATATATCATTTCCTTTGTGCATGTGGCCCACATTTTCATTCAAGGTGTTCTTCTCTTCATTTTCATTTTGCTTGTCACTTGTACAAGATTGTTGCATTAAAAATTCTCTTTTAAATACTTCTAGTCAAGGAAGTTGATTAAAATTAGTGAAAATTACAGTCAATCAAGTTTTTTAAGTTCCAACTTCAAAAATCAAGTTTAAATTTTCTTTTATACAAAAATCAGGTGATAATACATTTTAAATATTAATGATAATAATATAAATTAAATAAATCTACAAACCCACCATCCGAAAATGTTTTTGGGCCTTTTGCAAAGTTACTATCAAATATTGTTGGGCCTTAAAAGTCCAAGGTTGCATAACAATGGGCCCATGTGAGCCACTCTGATACTCGTCCAAATTTTGAACGGATAAGCTCTTAAATCAAATAATTGGAGAAGGTGACAAAATAAGACTCCTATCCTGTGGCCAAGGTAAATCGTCCGTTTATACTTTATTGTACATTAATTTTGTTAAATCAAATTAATTACCTTTTAATTTCATTTTGAAGTACTCTCCAATAAGGGAACACATTCACGGTCTGTTCGGTATTGATTAAGAGAATTGATTTTTTTATCGTTAAATGGAAAAGTGGGTCTCACTTGTGAGTAAAGAAGTAAAAAATAGCGGTTAGAATAATAAAATAACGATCAAAAAATTAATTTTTCTATTTGAAAAATTGCTTTCAAACGAGAGTTCAAATTCTAAAGAAACAATCTATCATGGGGATGGTGACCCAAATGGCTGTGGTGGCCATCCTCATCTCCGGAGATTTTCAAGAAGTTGGGATGAGACATAATTAAATATTTGTTCATTTTTCGCAAGAATATTAAAATTAATATTTGATCAAGAAACTCGCTAATTCAGAATTAAAAGAATCTAAAAAAAGAAAAAAAATCAATTAATTGAAAGAAATATGATTTATGATTTCAGTCAAAGAAGAATCATTCAATGTCATCATTTGGCGGCTGGCGGCTTATTCAAAGCTAATAAAATAAACCATCTTTATCATGAGGCTCAAAGGTCAAATCAACTACTCTGCAATTTCACATTCTTTGATGAAGCGATCTGATCTGAGTGACTCTGAATCCCTCGTAGAAAAATGGGAGAAAACAAAACCTTTTCCCCCAAATCCATCATCTGCTTCGTTTCCTCACTAATTTCTACTGTAATCGCATCATCGCCGGTGCCTCAGCCATGGCCGCTGCAATTCCACTCAATTCTCGTCATGAACAGCAGCAAAGGAGTCCTCCAAATCGACGATCTCTGGTACGACTTCCCCAACGGGCGAAATTTCAACATAATTCAGAGCCAATTGGGGCAAAAACTTTACAGTCTGGAATGGAATAATGGAACTTCTTTTTACTATACATTGGATTCTGATAAAGTGTGCTCGAGCAAGCAAGATCCTGTGGGAATTCTGAGACCTAATTGGCTTGAGGGAGCTAATTATCTTGGGCAGCAGTACAAGGATGGGTTCCTTTGCAATGTATGGGAGAAGGCTGAGATTGTTTGGTACTATGAAGATGTGATTACCAAAACACCTGTTTACTGGTATTTCCACACGGGTATGTACTGTATACACGAATTCCTCTCTGTTTTTACACCTTATTTAGCCCCAACCCCATTTATAGTTTCCATTTTGTTGGGAAAAAAGAAAGAAAGAAAGAAAGAAAGGGTGTGGTTAAGTCCATGTTTGATGTAGTTAAAAATTAAATATTTGATAGATTTTAATAAGAATCGATGAAATATGTGATTTAAAAGTTGTGCATCCATAAAATATGTGTTGGAAATTACTTGTTAATTTTAAATAACATTTTCATCAACATTTTGTTCCATTCCAAACCAAGGGCTAAAAGTATGGAAAATTTTTAGTCTAGGAACATTGAAAATGAATTATGGAAAAAAATAAGCCATTGTTTGGTCTATATTAAAATCTCAATTCAAATTCAATAATTAATTTTAGTGGAGGTTATGCAGGCTACCTGTTTTCTTTTTTTATAAAATTTCTATAATTACATGTTAAAGAATTTTATCCCACAAATACTACAACATTGTAGTAAAAAAGAAAAATATTAAATCAATTAACTCCTAAACGAAATAATCAATCGACGATTGATTTTACTCTACCAAACAAACCTTTCATAGACGTTAATCAAATTATCAAAGTCAAAATTTTAAAATTGGTGACTCTTGGATAATCCTTCGAAGGATGAGGTACAAGTTCGCCATTCTTATTATAGTCTCCTCGGAAGTCCAGAACACTAAGTGGAATGCACAATCAAGTGTGTCAGCATATTCACTTTCTTTGGTCAGGACAAGCCTTTCGATATAATTAGTGTTGTAGTCGATCTAAGTAAGACCGTAAGAACTAAGTGTCTTCCTGATGTAAGACTAATTATTTCTTAATCGAAGTGTAAGTTGTGTCTCTTTTGCTCAAGTATTTGGCAACAATCATTTTAATAAATAAATAACAATGTGATATTTTGGAGTTATGGAGACATGTCTCTTCGAGGTTGAGGGTAATGTAAACTTCCCATCGGGTCATAGGATAAAAACCCTCATCTTACTTAGACGAACCTTGCTAAAACCTAAAAATAAAATGTAACATTTATATGTGAATTGCAGGGACAATAGCACATTTTATGACATTCGAGGTTGGGAGAGTACTCGAGGATCCAAACTGGCAAGCCCCTGTCTATTGCTTTGAAGAGTCTAATGAGCAAAACAAACCAGCACTTGAAATAATAGCTACATGGAATTTGATGAGACAACTCCAGAGCATTCCTGCTTCTCTGAAAGTTTACTTATAAGTTTCTTTTAGAATAAATACATTTTTATAGCTTAAAAAATAAGTAATTACTTCTGTCTAAGGGTCCCTTCCCTTCTCTTCTTGCCACCTATGTCTATTCAAGGAATTACTATATGAAATAAATTGAAGTGATGATAACATGATTTTTGTAAAAGAGACTTCCGTTTATAAGGACAATAGATTTCTTATATGGTACATGTATTTGAAGATAGAGGATAGATTAAAATTAATATTGTCTTTGTGATCTTGTAAAATATAATAAAAAGGTGGGAACGAACACGATTATCATGAGTCATTGTCTCTATTGAGAGGGAGAAAAAAAATAAAATTATTTTAAAAATTTTTAGAATTATTCTCTACGAGTTCCTGTAACATATATAGAGCCTGTTTGATTTTTGTTAATTGGGAAAAAATAGTTTTGAATAGTATTTAGGAGAATATATGGTTAAAAGTAGGAAAAAGTTTTTGGTACATATGAAAATTATTTTATTGTATGAATGTGTAGTTGAAAATGATCATATAACAAACCATAAAATAAATCAAAGAGTGTCAAACATGCACTTATTAACAACAAATTTTTAAAAAACGCTATTCTAAAGTGGATTTTCCCCCTAAAATGGGGCTCGAGCAAGAGCATATTAACATTTATTATTTTACATACTTTGATAACAGTATGTGGTTTTTAGTGCTAAAAAAAGGAAGGGTAATAATTAAATTAGAGAGTCTAGGGTCAGTAGATATGATCTAATTATTGGAACTTGGGCAACATATATTCGAACGGGTCATTATGATATCTCGATAACATTTTAGACTCAATTGCAATCATTTTGAAAGTTTTGGATTTAATTGAGCTGTAATTAAAATTTTAAGCACTATACGTACAATTAAATCAATTATGATCTAATTAGACTTGTATTTAGACCAAATTTCTTCACATATAAAATACTATAGGTGGCCGAAGATTCATGTAAAAGAGAGAAGTTTGGCAAAAATTTTTTTATTGTTTTCATCGATTTTTTTTTCTATGTTCATCCAGTTTAAAATTGAATTTTAATTTAACAGAAAACATGTCCACTTGTTGGCATGGTCTTAAACTTTGGTAGAATAACATAGAAGGCTTTTGAAAGTTAAAAATGTCTAGTCCTTGAAATCAAAAGTTGGAAGTTCGTGATTCAAATTTGATCAAGAATTTGTGTAGATTTTGAATTTATATTTCTTGATTATGATATACATGTTAATATCTATAAGGATCTTGGATTTTCCAATTTAATATATA